CACCTCACACTCCTCGCGGATGTGTTTGGCGAACTTGGCGTGGACGGCCAGCAGGAAGGCGAGTAGCTGGCCCGAGCGCACCTCCATTAGGTCGCGCATGCTGTACAGGTGCGAGGACTCGACGAAGTACTGCCGGCCGCCGAACGCCAGTAGTATGCGCGACTCAAGCGCGGCGCGGCACGACAGGAAGTACTGCTTCATCAGCATCATCTCCTCCCGCAGCTTCTGCGCACGCGGGCACAGGCGGGGTCTGTTAAGACCAGAATGGCCAGAAGTGTGGGACAGCTGGTGAGCAATATCTGCAGTGAGTACTCAGGAACAGAAACCTTAATTCGTTTATGTCGCTTTTCACTCTGACGCCAATGTAAAAGCAAGGACGATTGCGGGTGTCTGCGACCGATCGCCGATTGTGACGAAAGACCCCGCAGCTGGACAAATGCAAGTAAAATCACGCCAGATGCAGATGCTTACGCTGCTGTTTTTAGCTGAGCGACTTACCTTAACGTGCCGAAGCTCGTCGACGAAGTTGAAGAGGAACGGGTTGGCTTTCTCCACGTCCAGGACTGGTTTGCCACACATCAGCTCCAGGTACTGTCTCGTGCCACAGGACACCTGGCAACGCCGGTAGGCCGTCCTCGTGAACACGTAGAACAGCGTCCATGGCACTGGTCACATCGTCCGTGCATTGATCTTGCTCGCTCCAAATCGAAGCAAATCGGCTATGGCTAAATTGTCGATGACACGTAGAGTCGGGCGTCGAGACCACTACACGGACTTAGAGGAGCACATGCGTACTTTAGTTTGCGCGAAATTGGGTCAAATTGCTATTTGTCTGCTTGAGAATGGGTCAGCTTCCATTATCAGCTCCAGTGTGGGCACCTGCCCCCCCGCACCTCGCCATGCAGCACCGTGCCCTTCACGCGAAAGACCTTCCGAATACTGGCCATATTCTAAAATCAGGTGGGAACAGGCAAGCATACAACTCGGATCATCGTTATAAAAGCAATCATCAGCTATATTTTCATTCTCTTCTAATCGTAGAGATTCACTGCTACATGCACTTTCCTTTTGCTCATAACGCGCATGCATCGCCATCGGCATGTGGTCACTAGACTGGCTCCTTGCATGCACCGATCGACGCAGAGGCTCATTTATAGGGAGAAGAGTGAACAAGAAAGTGTTACAACCTGTTACAGAATTTTTCAGCGACTGTATGCCACAACCCCAACAAGGAAGTGTTACAACCCAAACCAAACACCAAACATATACTCGCGAGCCAGGCCCAGAGCACCACAAACGGTGCTGCCACCTACCGAGTACTTGTCGAAGTCCCAGTTGTGGATGACGCGGCCAGGGACGACGGCGCGGTCATCCCAGTGGCAGACGGAGCAGAAGTAGAGGCCCGTGTAGTCGCAGAGCCGCGGGCTGTACACGCTGGGATCCCCGCTGGGCAGCCCCGTCATCTGGTAGTCGGGCTCTGTGGCAGACCGCGGGACAAGACCGTAGGAGATCGCAGGACAGACATGTAAAACGCCACAGCCAACTGCTCTACAGCAGACTGCAAGGCAGGTCGTCCATGCAAGACTATAGGACGGGGTTGTGGGAGACCATAGTACGCGCCTACGGAACCCCTGTAGGACACCACGCGACATCCCCGTAGGAAACCAAACGACGGTCTCCCTATATTTCATGAAAGCCCTGTATGAGACTTGTGAAAACCCATCAAATCTCCATAACACCCCACTGCACGGTTCTGAAGGGTAGTACACAATGGGCCTGCGCCGAGCGATTCTGCAGGGCAGCTCTACTGTCGGCAGCTGCTGTCACGCATGGGCGCTCCACGCGCATGACAGGCGAACAGGCACAGTTTTGACACCTGTCTGCAGGTGACGCCAGCCAGCGAGCGGGTTGCGCCTACGACTCGGGCCGGCATGGGACGTCCCGTCTCTTGACTGTCCGGCCCTGCGTACCGCGAGGGCGTCGACTCCAACTGACCTGGCATGACCCGGCGGCCGCACTCGGCGCACTTGAACTGCTGATGCGAGAGGCCGCGCTCCGGGCAGATGCGCAGGTCGTACTCGGGCTCATCCTGCACACGCTCCACGGCGCAGTTGCGCCGCACCGCCTCCAGGCAGGCGGCGTGCGCGTGCAGGCCGCACCCTGGCCGCGCGTCCAGGAGAGCGGCGTCAGAGAAGTCGTCGCGGCGGCGCGACCCAGCCGGCAGCCGACCTATGCAGGAACGGACCCACCACGCCGGCTGGACGCGCAGCACGGAGGCGCGTCCCTAACGCGTGCTACAAGCAAGACAGAAGGTGGCTGAGGCTCACAACGCGATGTGGAAACAACTCAGCATTTCAATGACAATTTTTTTTAAAGGCGACACCTGGGAACACAGCGCAACAAAATAGTGCGCCCGTTTTCGATCCCCAGGCACTGACCAACCACTGGACCACCTAAACCAACGGCGCCCTGAGTGGGCCGAGCGGCGGATGGGACGGGCCGGGCGGTCGTACCCTGGCAGGTGTACCAGAGGTGGACGAGCGCCACGATCACGCCAGCGCACTGGTCGCAATACTCGCGGCGGCGCGACACGCGCTGTGGCTGCAGCAGGTGGCCGCGCAGGCGGCGGGCGCCCTCGGGCAGCGGCGCGGCGCCCTCGCGCAGCTCCAGCCGGTGCAGGCGCAGCTCCACCAGCCGGCGCACCAGCCGGCGCCGCTCGTCGGAGCTGCGCTCGCTCTCCAGGATGGCAGCCTTGCACTCCTGCACAGCGCGCTCGATCTCCTGTTCGGTGGTGTAGCCAAAGTGGCCCTGTGCATGGGCGGACAGCACGTCCGGTATGGGTCAGGCATGGAGAAGGTGGTGTGGGAAGATTGTGACAGCTTACATGATGCTGGCTTGGTCATCTTACCACAGCTCCATTATTTGAATGTGACAGCACCCAACTCAACAAGGTACTCAATGCTATGTTTCCAAAGCACTTATGGTGCCACATGACTATACTTGAGGGGCTGCAGCTGCTGTCACCTAACCATCTGGCTGTGACTGGCAATGGTCTACTGTGAATTGAGGAAACATAGCCCAACCCAAGCAACAATGGTTTCATTCAGTCCAGATGCAGGCAAAGGGAGGATGATGAGGACTTCATTTGTCAAATAAGAGCTTGCTGCTGCATATCTGAAAATGTATCACCAGTCTACCAAGCCACCCGAGCAGAAGACTTGTGCTTAGGAAAAACATTCATTTTAATATAATCCTTGATCTACTTTCAATGTTTGTGCATGTTGCTGTGTCTGCAGCACATACACTTTACCATCATAACCCACCTCTTGGTGGTCCAGATTTGATTCAGATGATTCATCTCCACTGTCCACATTATTGCCAAGCTCCCCTGGTGAGGGTGTTGCAGGAGCCTCCTGCACTGATCTTGCATGCAAGAACATCTTGTGACTTAAGCCTGTGTGCAGAAATCAAAGGTAATCAACTCTTTTGACACAGCAAGGTGCAACAGTCAAGTGATTAAACATAGGGCCAAAGGATTAGGCATCTTCAGTCATGGCTTAAAATTGTATTAAGACATACACAGAGCATGCCTGCACTGACTGATCTTGGCTAATAGGCCACAGGCTGCCTGCTTGTTTCTTGACACCATTCTGCTTGAAACCCATCAATTGATTAACAAAGATGCATCTCAAACAAGAAAGAGTAATTGCATTTGTAAATATGTTGTTACTACATGTAGATACCACCCCTAGCATGCAGCTACCATATAAAATACACTTTTCTATGCCTAGCATGACCCATCCACACCTCTAACAAGAGAGCTTGATAATTGATGTGCTTCGGTCTTTGAGCCCAAGGCCACTGAATCATGAGCTGATTTGCTGATCCTGATTCCGGGTGATCCATGATCAGCTGATGTAATCTATGCTATTGCTGGGTCTCCATGAAATATTGGCTGCTGCTCATAAAGTTTTGGCATATGCCCAGCCAGGGCTGGACCATGCTGTTTACATGGGGCTTCTTAGGTAGGGCCCAGCCATGCCCCACCTGGCCCTGACTTTCCCCATGGTCTTGCATTTTTCTATAGCTCTAATTAAATATTTGCCTATGTCCACATTTCATTAATATCTGGCCATCTCCAAGAATAGCTATAGAATCAATGAATGCAATGCTGCCACCTACAGGTATTCATAGGCATAATAAAAGCCCCTTGATGCAACAACCATCTTCTCATGCCCAAATTATGAGTCTTCAGTTCACTACTGTCCACAAAAAGAGGGACCAGTGTTAACAATATTTAAATGTTTTACACATCAGTGAGTTATTGAAAGCACTTAAATACCTATCATGGGTATCTTTCAAACTTGTAGTTATTATCAAAATCAAGGAAATTATGGTAGACTCAAAGATATTACTGTCAACAAGTAGCAAATATGATTGCCAAAGGTAATCATTATCACAGAGGGTATGGCAAATAGCTTTTCAAACATACCCATTATCTGTTTTTGACAATACCTTCTAATTATTGGTGAGCACCAAAGGCAGTACATCCATAAAGCAGATACAGAACTCCAAAACCTGTTGCTCCATCCGAAGAGCCACATCTCAAAGGCATGTGTGACAATAAGCATGTGTATGGGAGCCATTATGAAACCATGAATTATTGAGGGATCGCGCCACCATGTTTAGTTGTTATGGCTAAGGAGCGAGACAGGCATTGTATCATGTATCACGCATGTCGTATGCATGCATCATCATGCATATTACAAACATTGACTCATGCATGCATCGTATCACCTCCTGTGGCGCGTGGCGTGCCGACTGCAATCAATCGATGGCCCGTGGTCTACAGATGCCTGGTAAATGATAATCAACCATCTAATTACATCGCGTGGTCAACTAACGGATCAAGTACGGCGTCCACGGGTTTGTTATTGTACCAAGGTGCCCTCACACTCAGGGAGCATAAAATGTACACGATATCACGAATAGTAAATGACGTCATTCATAGCCAAGATGGGATCAAGTCTGATATCGTTAGTCACGGTTCGCTCAAGGAAAGGTGGTATATTTGGTGCCTTGTAAACCGATACATAGGACACATCAGGTCATATAGGCTTGCGGGTGCCACGTGCAGGACTGCGATAAACCCCTAAATAATGATCGGATGAGCTTAACGTGGCCCATTAACAGGTTGCCCAAAATGACCAAACAGGCGTGCGAAACACTCAAAGCATCGTGTAATGTTTAGATCAGACCCATGACAACGGTAAGGTTTGATACCAAAGGGTAAGGCAGTACAGCGCCGTTTCTCAAGACGTATCAAGGGGAAAAGGAACCTCGGCTTAACCTTTCGTATCCTCCGAACATTATTGCGCAACCGGCTTCAGCCTAACGAATACCAAATCCGGAATCGTCCAGTGATCCACCCACCCCATCCCACACTGAAAGGCAAAAAAAAAAGACGTAAATCGACTGAAAAACTAGTGGTTTAAGCTTTGGTTATCACCTGGCTGCATTGACATTAGGCCCGTCATTCAGAAGTGAAAGACCATGCGAAAACGCCAAAAAAGGTATCGGTTAGGCTTTTCTCGCAAGTTGGCAATCATGACTGCGTGCCATGGAATATCATCTATGTCTAGGAGAAATCGTGTGACAGTAAAAAAACGTGCCTTCATCTGCGTGGACAGGATGACCCATCTCCTGGTGGCGAAAGCAAATCCGTCCCACGGCGCAGCACCGGCCATCATCACAACGGCAACATAGACTCGAACAAGCCACGGCGTGTATTGTTCGTGTTTGGTCTTGCGTTGGCAGCGGCAGCGGCCAGTGGAGGACATCGTCTGAACATCGCGCCGCATTCCGGCCCCGTGTTGGCTGCAGGAGCCGCGACCGAATCGCAGGTTAGTGTGGTCCGCCTGTCGCACCGCAATTAGGAACTAGGGTCTGTCGGCCCACGGTCCATGCCCACTGTTTTACCACACCAGTAAAAAGGGACACAGATCAAAAAGGGCAGTGTTATGGGGAAACGAAAAACGTATCAGGTAAAATTGAGATGTCACGGTTTTCCGTAAGCAACAGCAACGGTCATGTTCGGAAACAGTCACGCAACTGATCAACTTGGTCTGGCTGGGCAAGGCAAACATTTTTCGCAAATGTTTTAAAGTTTATGGGCACCAAACCTTTTTTATCCCGGTTAATCACAGACCGTCCACCACTACGCTCGCTTCCCGCAGTCACAATACAAAACAAAATACGTGAGTTGTGCTGCAGTGCCCAAGCGATCCAAGCCGACCC